CTTATAAACTCATTTAGTATATTTATGAGGTACTAAACAAACTTATACTAACTACATGTAACTAAATATGCGAGATCTACACAAGCAAGTGTCAATAAATTGCTACGGTGAAAAGGCTTAACTATTGTATTGACGACCAACGAAAATAATTTATCAAAACATTCCATCATCTACTTTCTTTTCATTTAATTTTTCACTCACCTTCCATAACCCTTTCTTTATTTCTTTCTTTGCCTTCTTTGTCTAATCCTAATTAGTATACTATTTTTATATATTCTAATCACAAGTATGAACGGGTCCATACACGACTCACTAACAGTCTAGAGAATTAATATTAAACCATGAACCACTAACATTTTCAGCTCAATGTCGAGTCCAATAAAAATAAATATATATGGTTATTACTTATTAGAAATTCGTCATTTTCCAGTTTCCACTATGGGATTTGAAGGCGTGAAATTTTAAGTGAGTTCCGGTTTGTATTCCTTTTGCTTCTCTCTAGAGGTTTTCTTTTTCACCCGTGCTGGAATTTTCAACAATTATACTTGGAATGTTTGGCTAGGTATCTACACATATAAAATAAGTAGTTTCTATTTTTCTATAAAAAGGTAAATAATTATCATCTTAAATATATCATTATAAAAGAAATTAAGCCTCAAATATAAAAATTACAGTTCGTTACCGAAACTTAATAAATCTGTATATTTATAACCTAAATTTAATTTTTTAGCATATAAGTCCTCAAAATGTTAGTGGAACATTACATTTTAGCACCTAAATTTTTTGTGTATTACATTTTGGCAACTAAACTTTTGAAGTTCTACAGATAGGTCTGATTTTTGTACGTGTAATTAAATCACCCTTGAATAAATGGGTATCCATACCCAACTCATAAAATAAATTATGGAAGTAAATATCCATACCCTACCCAAACCCATCTACGAACTTCCAATCTCATATATTACTAACAAAATTGCTAAAAAAAAAATTGGCAAATAATACAAAATAAAATATCATAACGAGCCACATAATACATGTCAATATGCCATCTCCGCTTCGCGACAAGACGCGGCATCGCCACCTAATAAAATCTTAAAAGCTAGCAAAGCAAAAATACAATGCAAAGTAAATCCTTTTTCTACTTTTTCCTTAACCGGCCGCTGGAACGAATGTCCTTCCTTCCTTCCACATGATCCCACTTAGGGGTGTTTACTTTAAACGGGTTGGTTATTGTGATAACCAAATCAACCGATAGCATTTAGTTAATTTGGGTTGGTTAATTTAGAAAATTGATTTGGTTTGGTTAAACAATTTAGCTTATTTGGTTTAGGTGGTTTGGTTTGGTTTCAACACTGCTAACCTATGAAACCAATTAACCAATTAATGATACACCTAATATACAAAGTTATTTATACTTCCATGCAACCAACCAAACCAAACTTTCGTGATTTCCTATATTATTTCCATGTGCACAACAAACCAAAGCATTATGGGTCAAAAATTAAATGAGCCTGCCTATTTACTAAACCAAAACATTTTGGACAGCTAATAGACTTTAGGATTACGTACAAATCCATGACAATCACCTCAAACTATGTATAGTTTAAGTATTTTGTATGAGAGTTTTAACTTCCTAATAAGTGGTATTGGTATGTATTTAATATTTATGTTAAGGGTTTGTTGTAAGCTAACTATATTAGGTGCAGAGATGATGAATGATGTATTAACTCGAATGATGGTGATAATCATGGATGGTTAGTCTTATTATTATTGCTTATATATAATAATGATAGTTTATGATAACATATGGTTATGTTTTATTTATTAAGGGGATAATTATTTTCATGTAATATTATGTTATTTGGTTAATTTGATTTTCGTGTTAATCTGGACGGTTTGGTTAAAACATTTTATTTCATAATTAATAAAATTTAGACTTAATTAATTTGGTTATTAGTAACATAACCATTTGAACACCCTAATCCCAACTTTACCTAGACGGGCCGGCCGGGCACCGGTACCTTCGCCCGTCTTCCCTCCCATCCCAACGGGCCACTGTCCCCCATATTCCAAATGCTACATAAAATACATCACACAAAAAAACTGTCTAATAATGTTTTGTATACCTCTTAAAAGGTTCCTTTCCCTTCTCCATCCAAATAGTTTTTCTACTTTGTCTTGGGATGGACTTGACGTATCCTTATACATGGACACGTGATAATTTCCCTCAAGTCACGTGCCATCCTGGGCCAGCAAAGGACAAACCCCTCACCGGCCCATTGCCCAAAAGCATCCACCAGAAGCAGAATACAAAAGAGATTGGGAAAAAGGGAAAACTCAACAGTAAAATAAAGGAGGGCTTTTATATATTAAGAAGAAAAAAAAAGCATGTGAGGGAGGTGCTCAGCTTTGTATGTATAATGGTATATATATTTTTGGGTTTGGGGGTTTGGCCTTTGGCTGTCTCCCAAGTACTCTAGTCTATGGTTTAGGAGGTTGATTGGGTTGTTTTGTTTGTATAAAGAGAACAAAAAAATGATTGCAGGACAAAGATATTCTACTACTAATAGCTCCATTCAAAAAGACAAAGATACTCTTAACCAAATACACTTGCTAGCTACCTACCTACCCTTGTTCGTTTTTCTTCATGTTTTTCTCTACTGCATTCCTTTCTCCCACTGTTTCCACCCTTTGTCTTTTTCTTCTCCATTTCTATTAGTTCCATAACTGTCACCATACACCTGTACACAGCAATTCAATTCGGTTTGGTACATCACAGACTACATAGAGGCGGTAATGAACTCAACTAGTGATACAGAAAGTGGCATGCACTTCTTCGGACTTCAAGTATGGGTCTTCCCCCACTTTTCCTTCAGCTGCCTTTTTTTGGGTGAGTTTAGCTAACTTTGGCTAACCACCAGTCAATAAGAGAAGCTAGCAAAGGATGCCTCTCAGCACATCACATACTCTAGCTATATAGCTAGATTACTAGGGCAGTATAATTCATTATTGGACTAGCTAGCTAGCTAGCAATGGAATCACAAAGTGTGGGACTTGAAATCAAAAGGATGGACTTAGTTGAAGTTAATAAGAGACTTCGAGTACCTAGTACTTAGCTTAGCTTGGAATAATGACATTTACTAAGATTGGCTCATTCATCATATGACCATGATAAGGTTTAGATTGGATTCCTTTGCAAAGAGAGGGCAGCCAGAACTTCTATATATATATATATATATATATATACTCAAATAGTAATGATAGAGAGAGGAAAGAGAAATGATAAATATTTGGTACTTGGGTTATTATGGTTCATCTTTGTTGTTGTTGCCTTTTTAACATAATTATGCAGCTGAATGGCATAAACTGTAACTAATTGTACATAGAGTTCCACTTAATGAAATAATGTATGTTAATATATATATATATATGGAGTTCTACGGTACCTAGGGTGAAATTCGGGGTACCGCATACCTTGAGTAAGAAAACACTATCCAGAACTTGAATTGACTGATGTTTCGGACATGATACTATACTCTTACCCTTAAAGATCAAAATCTAGGTCTTAATTCTCTAAATCTTATACCCCAAGATCAGTTTAATTAGAAACAATAATCGACGGTTATGATTCGTCCAAATATAGGCAAAAAATCAATGTACCATCTTAGGGTTTATAGTTTATGATTTAGATAATTAGGACCTAGGGTTCACTCATTAACGGTTAGGGTATAGTATCATGCCCAAAAAACCTGCTAATTCGAGGTCTAGATAGCTGATAGCGTTTTCATATTCAAGGTATGCGGTACCCCAGATTTCACCCGAGGTACCGTAGAAGATATATATATATATATATATATATATATATATATATATAATTTATTACAGAGAGAATCGATAGAGTAAGTGAATGGCAATGCAGTCAAATCTTGATTAGTAACATATTTGATTCCTAATTAATGACATATTCCTTAATGGATTATTTGAATGATGGAATTAGAAGAGATATTTGGTGTAATTGCATTATAATACAATATGAAAACTAAGTGCGTCTCATTTCAAAATGTTATATTTGAATTGTGATATTTCATGAACAAGAAAGTCTCGCATTTGAAAATGCCCACATTTCTTGTCCTGAAAATCACAATTTTTTAAAATATTTTGGGCTAATATCGTTGGAAAACCCGAACTATTAACTTTGTGTCATTTGTATTCTAAAATATCCGATATGACAATTATGTCCCAACGTTTGGTAGTTTTGTGTCATTTACGTCCTAACAATTTTGTTGACCGTTATAGATAACGGTTGACCAAATGGTCAACCATAATATGTTGACTGTTGGTTACATGGCACATATGTGGCAGCCATGTATGCGTCACGTCAGCTGCCACATCAGGTTGTTATTTTTAAATTGAAATTAATAATTAAAATACAAAATACAAACAAAACTTAAAATAGAAAATCTTCTCCGGCAGAGCTCCAGCTCCAATCGACGTGAATCCCTTCCTTCTCGTCGACTTCTTCCTCTCTGGCAGAGCTCCCAGCTCCAATCGACGTGAGTCTTCTTCAGGAAATGGGAAGGACCAGAGTTGTTCAGTCCCTCCATCGTTTTGGGCACAACCATTGAAGACGACGACGTCGCAGAGGAAGAAGACCCGTCGTTGTTGTTTTTCGGACCTTCTTCATCGCCGCCGACGCCGCTCGGAGTCGAAGAACAAAATAGGTAAAATCAAACTTTCAATTCAAGTCAATCGAGGCCAAAATTTCACAACTTAAATTCAATCCCTAGTCTGATTCAATGAACTCTCGCAGACGAAATCTACAATCTCCCGACCCTTCAATTTGATTTGAATCCCAGTGTGAATTCCGACTCTTCCACTACAATATAAAGCTCAGCGGAATAGCTGGGAGCTTAGATTTGGAGGCGGCGGGCGACTTCCACTCTATCACCGACTACAAGCGACTTCCGTCGCAATCCCCTGTTGCTCGACGAGAACCAACGATGATGACTGAGAGATTGAGAGCTTTGGAGCAGATCTGGAGCAGTGATAGATCTGGAGAACGACGACAACAATCAATCGCCGGCCACTGTGACGAGGATGATGCAGAGGCGGAAGAGGAAAGTGGACGAGAAGTGTCAGAATCATTGCATCCCTTAGCATCATTGGATCCGCCATGGAAGTGGAGCTTGGAGACGTATCGGGGAGAGGAGTACAGGGAGACGGAAAAGCCAATTTGAGAAAGTGAACGAATTTTCCACTTTTTTTAATTTTTTTTAATTTCCATTTTTTGTTATTTTTCCTTTTAATTTACACTTCAGATGCTACATCAACGTTGATTAGACTTTCTATTTAAAACTAACGGTCAACGCTAGTCAACCATAATGAAAAAATAGTTTGGGACACAATTTTCATATCGGATACTTTAGAACACAAATGATACAAAGTTAATAGTTCGGGTTTCCTAGTGGTATTAGCCCAAATATTTTTTAACGACTACCCAAACGTCACCCTTTCTTAATAACACATCCAAACGATTGATAAATTTAAGTAACATGGGTGAAAGGCCTTTATGTTACATTAAAAATTCATGAGAAAAAATAATAACTTTCTTGGTTACTTAATGTGCAGGCCTGTCCTTCTAGGGCTAGGAAGTGGGTAATGCAGAAACTCATCACAAGTCATGGTAAGTGTAGAGTGGAGGTAAATGAAAGGAATGGTGGGAGGATCATGAGATATACTTAAAGTAGGAAAAGGCAAAGGTTCCTTCCTCCCTCTGCCCTTTTCATCAGAACAACAAGAGAAATAAATGTATAGAAGCAACCATTGATAGAAACATTTCAAACTCCCCACCCTTCTTCTGTGGTCACTGTTTCTTCTCTTCCTCCCATGTATCTCTACATATTTCGCTTTCATTACCTTGTTTTTTTTTTTTTATATGTAGGTCATTTTTGGGTTTGTTTTCTTGTTTCTTTTGGCTCAGAGAAACTAGCTAGACGTGGTACACTTCTGCTGATGAATTTATTATTGTTTACATCTGCTCTCCCAAGGTGGAAGAAGGAGGAGAAGAAGAAAAACATTTGTTGCTTACCTTTCCTTCCACCGACGACTGACACTTCATGGAACCCAAAAAACAAAGATAATTTATGTTGTTTTTTTCCCTTGAATATTGGGAACTTAATGATTAAGAAGAAAAGAAAACGATGGTCAAGCCAGGAAATGATGACCTTCTTTTTCCTCACCCTCTTCCTTCTACGTAATCTATCTACCTGTTGACAATTATGTGGGCAATGATCGTACTCGTAATTATGGTTTTGTAGCCGTCCATATATTGTGATTAACAATCCGCGCAGTACAAGTAATAATGCTGCTCCTCCCAACCAAATATAACTGGACCGTTAGGTAAGAAAGAAGGAAAACATCAATTTGGGCGCAGTTCAAACTAAAGAAGATAAAAGGCCTAGAGGAAAGGGGATTTAATTTGCAGAGATTATATATTGTATTTGTATATATGCTCTCTCCCTCCCTCCATAGCTACAATTTTCCCCTTCTTTTTTAAACAAGGAAGAAAGCATTAATTTGGGTGCAGTGCAGACTGCACAGAGAGAGAGAGAGAGAGAGAGAGAGAGAGAGAGAGAGAGAGAGAGAGAGAGAGAGAGAGAGGGCGTGGCGGAGCAATACCTTTCTTTTCCCTCCATTCTCTTCTCATCAACAGCTTTTCCTGCCCTTCCAATGGGCAGTAGAACAAAGAAAAAAGGCATCCCACAGAGACACAGTCTCTCTGGTAACATTGCACAGAAGAACCAACCTCTCTCTCTCTCTTCCTACTGCATGCCTTAAGAAGCATTAATGCAGCTGAGACACTTACAGGCATCAAAGTCAGCAAGAGCAGAAACAAGAAGTAGAAGAAGAATTGGGGGAAAAGGAGAGTGACTTTCAGAGCAGAGAGCCAGGGAGGGAGCAATGAATTAATTAGTATTGCACCAAATAAAATGCAAAGACCGGATATATATGTTTTGGATAATAATACTGATATATGCATTAACTCATGCCTAGCTTAGAGCTTGGAGTGTAGTGGGTGTCACGAAGAGGGAAACAAACAACACAACTTCAACAAACAAAGAAAGCCACATATATATATTTATGTACACAAAATATGATGATGATCAGCAGCAGCAGCATCATCAAAACATTAACAAACAAAACAAAACAAAACAGAAAAGAGAGGCCGAATTTAGGCGGGGAGATCTCATGATCTATAACATATTACCTAGGTAGCTAGCCTTCTACGAAAGAAAGATTCAGGAAGGTGGTGCACCAAAAACCCATCATCATCAATTCATCATACTAACTAACTAACTAACTAATTAATCAACAACACTCATCAATGGGAATCTAATTAGCTAGCAAGCGGAAGGAGGCATGAGGTTGAGCCCTAAATCATCCTTCCCCAACACCAAACGATGAGCCTTACTGTTCTCCACGGTCGCTCCACCATAGTACTGATCCGGGTGCACCCTCTTCTTCGATATCGGCACGCCGAACAACTTGGTCCTGCTGCATGACCCATCATTCTCAATCCCGCCTTTGTTGTCGGGATTGGGAAGCTCTTCCAATATCGTCACCGTGCTCTGCGAGTTCCCGCTGTTGCTGTAGCTAGGCGACGTCGTACTACCATTAGTAGTAGTCACGTTGTTGCTATTGTTCAACACCTGAATTAGTTGCGGTGCAGCCCCGCCTTGCATATTCGACGCCGGGTAGTATCCCAGCAGCTGGTTCAGCGGCTTCTGCGCCAGATGGTGGTGGGACGAAACGGCGCCGTTGGAAGGGAAGGGCGGGAATGATGACGACGTGGAGTGGTGGGTGGTTCTGGTTGGAGGTGCGACGGGCTTGACGTGGTTCTGGACGAAGTAGATGATGTCGTTGTACAGCTTCTTCATGTGCGCCAGCTCCGACATCAGCATGTTGTTGCTCCGACGCAGCCGCTCGTTGTCCTGCGCCAGCGCCGTCACCGTCCCCACGCCAGAATTACTACTGCCTCCTGCTGCCGCCGTTGTCGCGGTGGTTCTTGGTGGCGAGCATCTCTGCGGCGCCGGCGGTGGGTTGTCCCAGTAGTTGTGATTGTGGTTGTGGTGGTTGGGGAAGAGGTGGAGGTCGTCGTCGTCGGGGGAGATGCTGATCCGGTTGGTGGAGAACGGGAAGAACCCGGCGCCGGGCCCCATGAGGTGGTGGTGGTGGTGGTGCGGCGGCGGAGGGGGAGGAGGGTGAGCTGTCTTGCGGCGGTGGATTTCGCAGAGGAGATGCTTTTCCCCCTTTTTGAAGAAGTCGTTGGCGAATTCCCATCTGTCCGGCACGATCTTCCTAAAACCCTACACCACCCAACAAAAAAAAAGAACATCATTAAAAGGAACAAAAAAAAAAAAAAGCAGAACATCATTAAAAGGATCAAAGATAAGAGAAGAATATGATGGAATATTATCGGAGGAAGCTTTAATTACATAGGTGTTGAGCTGGCGGACGAAGGAGGAGAAGTTGTTGTGCTTGAAGTAATTGGGGAGGAGGTCACGTGCGAATTCCGGTGGCCGCCAGACGACGAAGGTGGAGTCGTCCTCTCCCCAGGAGACGACGTGGTCGGTGGAAGGGTCGTCGACGAGCTGGTAGGTCTTGGTCAGGAACGGCGCCGGGACTGCTTTGTGGGAGTCCAGCGACAGAAGCAAGCCCTGATCGCCGGCGCCGCCTCCACCGCCGCAGGATGAGTTTTCGAGCATGAGCGCCATGTGTGCCGTTGTAATGATTGCTTGGGAGCGAGTTTCTTCCAGAAGGAAAAGAGGATGTGGGAAGATGGGAATGGGATCTTCTTCTTCTCCTTCTTCTTGTTTTTCTTCTGTTTTGGCTGTGATAGGCGAAGAAGGAGGAGGAGAGCAGAGAGAGAGAGAGAGAGATAGGTAGTGAGAGAAACAGGGAGTGAGTGTGAAATGAAATGTGGGGGAAAGATGGGGTGGTGGGAGGGGGAGGATAAAAATGCTGTGAAAGTGAGGGTGGCTACAGCTGCTAGCTAGCTACCAGTGTACTATGTATACACGTAGCTAACGTTATTTAACTTGGGCCAAAGGAGCAGTAGTAAATAGTAATTATTAATTACTTTTTAACAGGATCCTAATCTTGAAGCTGTGATTGCAGCCAGGGTGATGATGATGGGCATTTATCTTAGTTTCAACCGAGGTGTTCTCTTTTTAGTTTTTACCCAAAAAGAAAAAAACTTTTCTCGTGATTAAAATAACCAAAGCCGGAGTGTATTTGTACCATCAATACAAATCGATGCTACATGCAAGTGAAATTTTTTACGAAATTCAGTATATTTTGTTCGTTCAATTCAAACTTGGCGTCACCCTCTTGTGTTCTTTTTATTCTCAATGACGTACATATCTCCACATCGTTTGTTTAAATGCTGGTTATTTCGAGTATTAGCAAGTAATTTGTGAAAATGTATACCACCTACAATGTCTCAACTTATATGAAAAGTATTTGTGTAAAGGGGATTAATAGCATTTTGTATCATGTTACTATTGCATATTACCAAACATATTTCACCATTAAATATTTTGCACAGACATATATTTTCTAATATTAAGTAGAGGGTACAAAATGTTGTTTCCAGCTTAAGAATAAGTATAGGGCTTAGTGGTAGAGTTAGTCGGTGAGGCGAGGACATAGAGAAAAGGGAAAGGGGGGAAGACGATAAAACTGGTTTTGTTTTGGAATTGGTGTGGGTTCTATTTGGGGTTTTGGGCTTTACTAAAAAAAAAAAAAAGTAACTGCTTCTATACTATTACTATATCAGCCGAGGGTGTGTAGTGTGTTTGGAAATTGGAAGTGTCGTCCTCGACCTTGGTTATGGTAGAGAGAGAGAGAGAGAGAGAGAGAGAGTGCAGAAGTAGTCTGATTGAGTTAAGAGCATTTCAAGAAAAACCCGTGACCACACTACTACTACTACTACTCTCTTTCTTTTGTCCTTTGTATATTTTATGATCGAACCTGACATTGATCCCGCGCGCGCACACCCACTTGAACAATAAAATACAATGAATTGAAGCAACCAGCAGCTGCAGAAAGCAGAGGCAGAGAGAGGGCTCAGTCAGGGCTGGGACTGGGAGAAGAAGGGAAGGAGAAGCTCCCAACTCCGTCCTACCACCCAACGCAAATTGTGCTTTGGGACTTGACATTTATTAATTTCCATGATAAATCGTTTCTGATATAACGTAACATTTATTACTTTTTGTTGTACGTGTATATTGGGACTGGGAGGGGAGGTCAACACTTTGCTATACCAATTCTATACAAAGTCTAAATAACATTTCCGCTGTCTCTCTTTCCCGCAGTCCCTCTTTTTGGTAGTCTTCCTTTATTACCCCATAAAGACTAATAAGATATCTTTTCCCAGGATGGAATGGAACACCCAAAACCCCCCAAACGTACACTACTACTTCTTGAATTCCCACTTTGGTACCCACATTTACCTCTTTCTTCCACTTCCATCCAACCGATCGACACTATGGTCACTGAATGTGTGGGTTTCCAATAAGAGTTTCTTCCTTCCTTCGATTTTTGTAGTTTAGCTTTTGTTGTTTGCAGGACATCATATAATAATACAAAATGGGAAACACAGACACAGTTCCCAATTTCGAATCGATTCTTCATGGGATGTCTCATCTTAATCTCTGTCTACTTGGAGAACCCAAACCAAAGGCATATATGTTATGTGTAAGCATGGAACTACGTGCAATTTTCCCAACTTGATCAGGGATTTATTGTTTAACTAACCCAAACCCCCTCTTCCCATTTAACTTAATTTAATTTAAGTAACCAACCTCCTCTTCCTTCTCTATTTCTATTCTTGTACACTTCTCCTTTCTGCTACTACTCCTAGCTTTCATGACTAAATTGTGTCACACATCATCACCACCATGTATATGTCCCAACTCTAAACCAATTTGAATACTGATTCGGGTTTCTGTACTTACAGAAAACCCTTATAACAACTGTTATGTTGCATCATCACTTTTTTCATATTAAGAATTTTCAAATGATTTGTCCATCAAGATTATCCACACTAATGTATATTGACTATATTCATAACTTGTTCCAACAGTTTTTCTTTAGTCGATCCTCAAAGTTATTTGTTCTGGTACGTGTGTATAACTTCTCGGATTATTACTATCAACATTGATTTTTATGATTACTATGTATTTCAGGGGATTGAACGACTAGGATCTAAAATGATATTTTGAAGTGTTTTTTAAATGTTTTTACTGTGACCCAGTTATTACCAAGAATATTCCGTATAAAATATTTTAGCACCTTTCTTATTTTTATTTTTTAAATCGAATTTAGGAATGCTCACTTGACAAAGATTGCAAATATGCCCGCATTAATTACTCTCTGTTCCCAATTAATATTCAGCTTATACCTTCCCCATGCATCTCTTTTATCCTTTGGCTTATGCCCTCCTTTTTTGGGGTTCCGAAACAATATTATTGTTTAAATGTTAAATAAAGTGTCTAGATATGTGGTGCCCTAAGCTAGCTTCTCTTTTCACATTTACAAATGTCAAATATAACAATAATTATATGTCAAAATTAACTAAGACTAGTTACTTTTGCTGTTAATGATCAGTAAAAAAGGAGACTGTAATTATAAAGCTGAGGTCCCAAAAGTTTCAACTATAGGAGAGAAGGAGAGGTGGGAAAAGGAGAACTTAAAATGATGAGCAATTATTTCAAGGAGATACTCCAGCTGATTGTTCTAATCATGCCCCATGATTCTCATTGTTGGGATATACCCAAATTAAAGCTAGAAAAATTACCACTCTTTAGTATTTTGCAAAATGCTGCATGATTACTGGTTTTGTGTAATTAACGGCTAATGCATATCTTTAATTCTTTATCTCTTCATTTTTTTTCAAATCACATAATAATTTGAAAGTTATATTATATGTTATTTTTACTGTAAGTCTAGTAAATATTACCATATAGAATATAAATCAAACCAAATTTGAATCATATGATACCATAAATCTGAAAGATTGGCGCTAAAAAATTTACACGGGAGGGATTTGAACAATAATCATTGAGGAAGTGGGCTATACCCGAGGGATTTGAACAATGGTTAATTCATATTCTATTTGAATAATCTTTTACAAAACTTACATTTCAATTTACCTACATTTAAAGTGGTGGAGCCCTGAAATTAAAGCAGTATCTAAGTCTATAAATACAAACTATAAAATCAATTTATAAAAAATGATAACTGACAGTTCTAATTTATGGACATTTTATACGAGTCTCATATGTCACGTTCTCTGTTGTTAGTCGTAGGTACTTCATCATGCTTGGCAATTCTTCGGTTTCATGGTGCACCAACAAGTAAACTGTCGTCGCTCACTCCTTGGATGAAGCAGAATATTGTACGTGCAATGAATAGTATGGTCCATGACCTTCTGTGGCTTCCTTGGTTACTCAAGCACCTCGGTATTCGAGTTACTCAGACAACTCCTTTTTTCTACAACAATCGGACAATGTTCACATTGCAGCCAACCTTGTCATTCATGAGCACACTAAGCATGTAGAGATGAATTGTCATTTTTGTTCATGAGCACACTCCGTCTCATGAGATTGTCCCTTACAAGAATCTCACTGCTGAGCAGTCGACATTCCATAAGGATTAGTTGGTGATCAGTTTGTTCATCTTCTTTTCATGCTTGGGCTCCTTGACATTAACCATTGTTTTTAGAATCGGATCGAAAGACCGTTGGTTAATGTTGATGGAATCGTTCATACGCTATAACATATAAACATATATAATACACGAAATTCGTACTGAACTTATCACTAACCATAAGCAATTTCAAATGCATATCAATAACCAAAAGTTCTAAAAATCATTAAAATAATCTAACAAAAGCAGTTAATTTTTTTTATTAAATTCAAGTTAGTAATCAAGGTTGTAATCTGTAATGGATAATATAAAGGCGACATAAAGGTTAGAAAACAAAGAAAAGGAAGTAGAAATAAAAATAGTAATATAGATTGGATGGTTTTAATTTATGTTAAAGTATTTTGTATCTTAATTTTTGGTGATCAAATAATGAACTAATGGTCCACTCAAACCGGAGTGTTTCGTCTGACTTTTATGTCAAACTGTTAAGAATCGTTCGGTCCATTTTTAAACATTCATACAAATTAACCAAATCGATATTGTAACTAATTTGATGATTCTACTGGTCCAGTAACTAATCGATTGGGTTCTTATAACAATGAAATTAATGCTTGCGCTTGAGGGGAGTGTTACGTGGTTGGTTGTATATGTCCTTATGGCCTTGTTTGTTTATTTCCATTTATTTAAGGGCTTAATCTCATTTCTTTCTTTCACCCACGTTACCTGTTGCAGGAGTTTAGGGTTTTGGTTTCATAGCCCTATAATATTACACCTATAGCAGCCGGAAATGAAATGACAATGCCTAAATAAATAAATAATCAATAAGCTGATGATCTCGTGGAATATTTTCGTTCACAGAAAAAGAAAAAATCATGTAAATTGTTGTGTCGTTTCTCATTTGTGTTCTAAATTTCTCCGCTAACTGCTGGTCGATCGGTATTCTTCTAAGATCGTTATTAATCGATATTCAAAGAGATAGAGTTTTCGGCCTACCCATTACAAATTATACTTGTCGATCAAGACCTAACTTGAGATCTGAACCATTCCACTAGTATTCTGGATG